AGACACTAGTCCTCAATGATACTCATCAGGTGCACACACCATTCCCTACTATACCACCAGGGAGACACTAGTCCTCAATGATACTCATCAGGTGCACACACCATTCCCTACTATACCACCAGGGGAACACCAGTCCTCAATGTGTGTACTACATATCACTCAACACTTGTATACTACTGGTCGTGTATTGGCTGTGTGAAAGTCTGTTTCTTGTAGAGGGATGCAATTTTTTTTTGCTTTTTGGTGCAATGAGCAATATATATATTTACCCATATATTTTAACCGCAGTATTGACCATCCAGCTCATCCCGTTTTCTGCGGAAGGTATGTTGTTCATGATACTAACGCAATCGCGGCTGTTATATATACTTTTGTTTTGTAGATATAGAGAATTCGGGTCCAATGATACAGCAGGCTTGACACTCGAAAAGGGCGCCAAATTCATAGAGAAAGTAGAACCCGACCGTGCAATAGATATGTACGTGGATGCGGCCGACTTGTACAACGATGAGGAGAAATACGCACAATGCGGCGAGTGCTACAGGAAAGCGGCCATGCTGCACCTGCAGAATCAAAAGTACGTCATGTGGGTGGAGTGAGCGTTGTTGGGTCCTCGCGTATAGTCTCTGCACTATTGAGATATAGTGTGGGATTTTGAGTGTTCCGATAAGCTTCTAGAAACCTATGCGTGTACGTTCAGCTGTTTTGTTTGTTGAATTCTGCTCAACTGGTCAATCTGCTCTCCAATTGTACGTTCGGAAAATTATATTGGCGTCAACTTTTTAGCTGAAGCTTCACTTTTGCTTCATAAGAGCTTTCGCCCATGGTTGTGCTACTAAGCGGATTGAGCACAAGATTGCATCTATTTACCAACCGCTCATTCTTCTCATTAATTTTGGGGAGTGTCGGTGTATTTTACCTCTCCAATTGGCCATGTGCAAAGTCCAGCAAAGTTATGTTTTGTTCTAACGTGTTTGTCTCCAGTTCTTGTTTGTCCGTTGCACTACTGACTGTTGAGTCCCGCAGTGCCCCTGTCGCCATAGACCAATCGACGGTTTTCGTGTAACTGACTCGTTCTAGTTTCGCGTCCCATCAGATTTGCCGAGGCAATCAAGTTGTTGGATCTACAGGCCAACGCATTCACGAGCGCTGATGTGATGGAGAAAGTGTACCAAGTATATCTGTCAATCGTTATCGTTTACTTGCGCATGGGTGATCTGGTTGCTGCCAATGAGAAGGCCGATACCTGGGTCATGTAAGTACAAAGCGATACCTGGGCCATGTAAGTACAAAGCGATACCTGGGCCGTGTAAGTACAAAGGACCTTTGTATTTGTTTGGCGATGTGTTTGGTGGACAATTGGTGAGTTGGGGAGTGTGGTTTTCCATGACGTAGTGTTCGCCATGTGCCAATCGGACATTGCAGCTCAATCATGCGAACAATCTTGCTGATATCCATGCCATTCGATAGCTGAAGAGGCAATCAATTGATCTCAAGTATTCCATGGCGCATATTGATTTGTGAGTGGATGTTTCCTTGTATTCCGCTGTGTGTTTATTATACCCCACCAGTGATTTCTGTGCAACATTGGTGCAAAACCCTAAAACCCTGAAAGCCTGCAGATCATGTAGTGTTCATTTGGTGGCCACTGAGCGAGAGATGAGTTTGTGTGGGCGTACGGTGTATTGGAGTAAGGATGAGGTAATGTGACCGTTGGGATATTTATGATAAACATATTGTGACGTCCAAAGGATGCTTGGCATGCGTTGTGTATTGCTGATCCTAAACATCCAAAGTCATCGAACAGCAATCGGACAACAACTAAATATGCTGAACAGAAAACACACCACACATAAGTGCATATGCTAAACACACCCACACATACGTTAATATCTGAACACACCACGTATACATTAATCTCTGAACACACCACATATATGTGCACATCTGAACACACCACGTATACGTGCATATGCTAAACACACCACGTATACGTTCATATCTAAACACACTTCATACAAAATCCTAAAATCGTAAAGACCACCTCCATTAGCAATAGCAATATTTTGCTAGAACGATGATCACAGTGGTTTACACGCACCGATACAGAGTCCCAAAGTTTTTGATTTTTTTGGTCTATACCAAACTTGCGCCTTCCAAATCAGGAAATCTGGGTGGTCAAATTCTGACGATGGACGTCTTGCGGATCACGTAATACAAGCATACGATGAAGGAGACCAAGAACTGATGGAGGCGACTGTCAAGAAGCAACGTTTTGGTTACCTTGACAACGAGGTGTGCTTTGTATGACGAGCAGCATTTTATCCGTTTCATACCGTGAAATAATGGATTGTGAAACGTGTGCCGTGAGATGTATTCTGTTGTTCGAAATGTTCCTACAGCTGTTGCCACAGTTATGTGGATAGTTCTGTATCATTGTCTGGTACTACATCTAGCTTTTGCATGGAACTATATGGTACCTAGTGGTTTCCGCGCAACGATTCGTTGGTATTGTAAGATTACAGATTTCTGGGCAAGAGACAGACTCCTTACCAATGGGTGACTGGTCACACAACAGCAGTGCAGAATGTATCGATTATAGTACGATCGAGCACCTCGGCCACTGTGGATGGTATGCTGATGCTCACACCAATCTGGGTGGAGGCATGGGTTGTAACATGGCACATTCTCTCTCCGTTCATCTGTTTAGGTGGCAAAGATTGCGCGGGGCCTGCGCGTGCCTGGAGCTGGTATGAAGAAGAAGAAGTCGGCTGTGGACACCCCAACACCCGCGAGCGAAAAAGAGAATGCGAGAGCTGCAGATATATCACCAACGGAAACCACGGCCGAAGGGCTACCATCCGATGCGGCAGCTGCGCAAGCGCCTATCCATGCAGACCAGCAAGCAAGCAATATCACCCCACAGCCCGCAGAAGCGTACGAAGACGAGGACGAAGACGAGGAGGGAGGGCTGTGCTGATATGTTGTGGACAAGCAGCCAGAGACATGTGCGGCTGCCTATGATCAGTTGCTGCTGCAACAAGCGAGTCTTTACTTCGTGAAGCAGTTCTGTACCTCTGTGTCTCCGTAAAATACATGCAACATTTAGATAATCCAATAGAACACATGCAAACAGATTTAAATGTCAGTAGCACTGCAACAGACATGTGTTACAGTGCAAGTCAGTTGTGAATTATAGAGGGTGGCTAGCTGTGAGTTATAGAGGGTGACTAATTGTGAATTATCGAGGGTGGAATTAGCCAATGCAACATGAAGTAGTTTGTTGTTGCCAATCGCAGCGCACCCATGCAGAGAATACTCGGGGGAGAATCAGTGGAATTAGAAATCGCACGGAATTCTTGCTGCACCCTATTCCATACCAGCCCCATGGCTTCACGGCCCAGTGGTTCGGTCTAAACCCCTGCAGGATCCAATTAAAGTACAGATCAGAGCAAAAGACCACCTAGCGCAACGTCGCACATTCTACAGCAGCACAAATTGGTGGGCAGTGGCCATATGCATTTTCAAGATGTTTGTAATTCGCAGAATATTAGACATTTGTAGTGCGTGAGCTAGCCGTTTTTACTAGTTACATCAATTCTCATTTCCTTCAGTAATCTTTTACAGATTATTGTCTCGTCGAAAATTCAAACCATCCCCTGTTATGAAATCTAAATTCATATGTACCATCCCTTTGTAGTGCGTTAATGTTCATTTATAGATACCTTTCTTTTTAGTGCGAGAGAGGTTTTAGTTTAAAATAAACGCATAAAGTCGGTGATTTTTACTGCATGTTGGTTTCTCGATGTCGCGTGTGTAGACGCACCTGAATTGATGGGGCATAAGCACAAAAGACACTCAACTTAGATGGATCAAGTAGGATTGATATATGTGAGCTATTTTCATAGTAAATGAATCAGATGAAATAGACATTCGTGAGATATTTTATAGTGAATTCTTTCAGACCGTAGATAGTAGTATTTCGTGCTCCATTAACCCTTCGATTTGGTTGCAATTGCGAGGGTATTGTCATTCTTATAACACCGCCGGCACATGTATAGTGCACCAATGGAGACACAAGTGTCAGGTGCTTGCATGGATATTCATTACAGCTGACTTTTATTTCTGCGCACGGGAGGTCAGATGCCAAGTCAAACCGTGATATGGTCCCACGTTTCAGCGAGTACCTATCCTATGTGAGACCGAGACGCATAATATGATTTCATCGTGGTATTGCATATATCGTTATCGTCTGAGTCCTGGTTTGCAAGGGAATATTTATCTGTCCGTGCGCGCTTTCTTTCACCGCTGGAGGGGGCTTGAGTAATTGGGACTGGTCTGGCACTCTGCGCCATGACATCGTTGTCATCTGAGCTGATGCAGATTACCTCCGCCGTGGCCATACTTTTGGTCAATAGTTGCGGACGAGTTTCGGAGTTCGCTCCCAAATGCCTAGCACTCTTAACAACCGACAGGCCGATACGTTCCGCAGCATTGGTGGACATTGAGATTGGGCCGTTGCGCACAGTCTGTGATAGACACGCAGGCAATGAGACAGCCACAGGCATTTTCGAAGGCACAGGCACGTTCTGAGGATATAGGGCAGCACACTTACTCAGAGACGGTGGAGGTATAGGCCCACTTGGTGTTGGTATGATCTCCTTGCGCTGTGTCTGAGGTATTGCTGACTGTCCTTGTTGTGTGGTGGGCTCAGCAATCCCGTTGCTCTGTGACTGTCGAGCGTTAGACCCACTTGGTGTTGGTATGGTCTCCTTGCGCTGTGTCTGAGGTATTGCTGACTTTCCTTGGTGTCTGGTGGGCTCAGCAATCCTGTTGCTCTGTGACTGTCGAGCGTTAGACCCACTTGGTGTTGGTATGGTCTCCTTGCGCTGTGTCTGAGGTATTGCTGACTTTCCTTGTTGTGTGGTGGGCTCTTGAATCCTGTGTGATTGCAGGGCCTCAAGCTTTAAAACTGCAGCGCCCCTCGTACTAGGAAGCGCAAGCGACGCATGTCCATTGCGTTGTGGGATATTGTCAGGTCCAGAAGCCCTATGCGACACCGCACTCGGAACAATTGTAAACTCAGACGGTGTCCTGTCCATTGGCGCACCGACTGATGCGCTGTAGCTCTCCTGAGTAACTGCCTTCGGCCCTGTGGTATCCTTTCGCTTCTCAGCTGCTCGCCTCGCAGCCACTTGATCGTCTGTCTTCGTTAGACCAGGGGTCTGCTGACCAGTCACCTCTCTTTTAAGTTTAAGCTTCGCGTGGCTTATCTTGTGTTGTTTGTATTTGTCCTCATTCGTGTAGCGACTGTCGCAGCCTTTCTCTTGGCATGCATAAGGGGTTCTTCGCCTGTACTCTTCCCAATGAGAGTCTCGCATATGCTGGCGATACCGATTAGCATCTGCCAATATCGCACAGCAATCTGCGACCACACATTTAAAACTCAGACCGCAATGTGCTTTTGGTCCAACTTGCTTTGGAACTCCCGACGCCGTCATGTCCGTATTTGTCGTAGCCGTATCCACCGATACAGTCTCTATCGACGAACGGTGGATTTTTGTCACTGCGGCTTCATTGGAGCTATTTTCACGATAAAAATTGGTACGTTCGGGTACAGAAGCAAGGGCAGATTTGACCCCGTTAGGAGGCTGGGAGGATCCAGTATTAGGACAATGCTCATTGTTATGCTCATGGGGCTTGCCTGTCAAGGCCTTCATCGGCACTGCAGACGATAGTAGCGGACCTGAAGTCATGGTTTCGTATCCTTGTGAGTTTTTGGGGTTTTTTACCTTTGCACACTGCAGCAGTGTCTTATTTCCCGTTGGGCCAACATCACACCTGTAGGCCAGAGGCTCGGGCATCTCGGATACGGTCTCAAATGTGTTGCCCTCAGTGTCTACTGTATTATTGGTGGTATGAACTGTGCTGTGTTCAGTGTTGATTGTGTTGGGTATAGTGGTAGCATCACCTGTTGGAACGTCTGTCTTGTTGTCAGTGTTGATTGTGTTGCGGAGAGTATCAGCCACTCTTTTCGGATGAAATTTAGCCTTGTGCGTACCTAGATTCCGCGTATTCTTAAAACTAGTACGGCAACCCCATACTGGACATGATACTCTTAGAGCTTTTAAATGTTCTTCCTTCAGTTGGCGAGGAAACTCAACTCCCGGATTTCCCATCCATGCGGCAGACTGTGCGCCGACTGTGCTCGTTTGCGCGGGATAGTGGTTAAGCCGCAATGAGGTATCCACTGCCGTGATTTTGCGATCACCCGTACTGGCGCTTTCACCAAAGTGTATTTCCTCTCGCTGAATACCGTTAGTGCCATCGTGTGCGCTCTTCTGCTTGCTGCTGTGGACAACATCTTTGGCTCTTGTACCGTTGTCATCATTCACTTTCCGATGTGCCATACAACCATGACACGGGTGATTTGAACTGATTTTTGTCGTGGAGTCTTTTGTGCGATTCGCACACACTGCCCTGTGTCCAGCTCTCCAATCCTTCAGCTGTTGTAAGAACATTATAGCAATCGGTTCAGCAGATTGAAATGAGTAGTTACAAAACGATCCGCGAGTCAAATTAATCCACAAACATGAGTCGCGCTCAATCATTCATCTGTATCAAAGACCTGAAACCCTAAAAGTGTTGGACGGACAGTTGTTGTACATACCTGACATGCGCGTCCGCAGAACCGACGCCCTTTGCATTTGCAAAGCCAGAAACTATCGCGTCCACATACGTCACACTTTACGAGTTTTAGGTCGATGGCCGTATCTTTGGGTTGAGCCCTTTGGGCGGCGGTGATGTCACAAGTAGATACAGCACCGCCACCAACGGACCCGGATGCCGATCCGTTACTACCGTTTTTCTTGGAAACGGCATTCGGTCTTGATATATAAAAATTATCCGGTGTACTTGAATTATCAGGTGTACTTGGATGATCAGGTATACTCGAATCATCGGTCAGCGATGGTAATTGTACCGATGCACTGAGACGTGGCTCTTCCTCTCTTGCTTGTGGCTTCACCTCGAGAGGTAGTGGTTTGGTTTCGACAGGTTGGGGGTTGACCTGGATTGGTTTCTGAGTTGACTGATGGTGCAGTTTTAAAGGATGTATGGGATACGGCTCAGACTGATTGCTTTGTGCTATACTAGTCTGCAGGACTCGACCAGAGTGACTACCGAGTGGCGCTAAGGATTGGTCCACACCCGACAGTTCAACCTCAGATTGTCCGGGCATACCAACCTGATCACCGGCATCGTGCGCAAGTTGGATTGAGGTGTTGCGAGGAGCAGTGCTTGTGTTGATTGAATCGCCAAAGGTATGCGTGGGCTCACAGATGGTTCCTATGGATTGTGGTTCGTTCGGCCGAGTATCGGTGGGTTTTGGTTCGTTCGCTTGTGTGTGGGTGAGCGGTGCACTCGCAGTGACTTCGCACGCGGTGTTTGGCTGCGCAGACTGAGGATTGCCACCGACGTCGTCAATTTCCTCTTCATCGTCACTTTGGAATAGGCAGGCGTCTTCATGGCCCCAGTCGTACCAGTCCGTGCGCTGGCATTAGTACAGAAAGAAAATATATAAGTCCCGATTAAGCGGCGCATGATGTCTGCTTACCGAAAATCTTTCGAACATTTCGACAGTCCACACATTCGTTTCTGAAACTATTATAAAGTAACTGCTGGCAAGCGAATCCGAGATTCCACATAATTGACTAATTTCTACATATGTGCTAGCTATCCAAAGATCACGTATCGGGATTTCATGACTGGATTCATATGGAAACTGGGATTGCCAAATTTCACTTTCCAGATGAAACAGTGATGACTCACTATCTTGAATGAAGGATCAGTTGGATGATCTGGCTATCAATTGTTAGAAACCTATATTTCCGACAAAACGACTGATATGATTCCACGCCGCTGTGACAACCTTCGGTTCAGAATCTTTCGATTAGACAGTACGTTCTCACAGGACATACGGGTCACACATCAACAGGGAAACAGTAGCTAGCAGATATGAACATACAACGAACCCATTGAAATGAATCACATACCTGACAGCTAACGGAACAATACACACGCTCTTTGCAAGGACAAGCTTCTGTGCCTAGCGCCTGACAGACAGTACATGGCAACGCCATATCATCAGACTATCTTTCACTTCTGTAGTGAACGACAATGCTCCAGTGATTAATTGAAGTTAGACGTACGAATATATATATAATATATATATATATTTATATATATTATACATAAATGTATATATGCAGATGAACATATGTTTATAGTATATATATATATATATATATATATATATATATTATAACATAATATATATATTATATATATATGTTCTATATATATATATATATATATAT